TTCCCTCCCAAAATGTAGTTTTCCATTTTCTACAAAGCTCTGACAATTGTGAATACTGACCTGAATAAACTGTTGGACATATGAGTACAATTAGTATATACTAACAAAAAGGTGGTATTGTAATCTGTAAAGATAATATTTATAAATATATCCTAAAATAAGTAAAATAAGTGGTTCCTAAATAAGGTGTCAACTTTTATTAGTTGTGTTTTAAACATTGGTAGATGGTACAGTCTACTATAGTTCAGCAAAGACAATATAAAATTGAATAAAATCATCCATTATACTCTTATTTACTATGAAATTAGGGGTGGGAGGAAAATATGAATATCATTTCATTTTAGCTTCTATAAAAAATAATTGCAAAATGACTTTCCTGAAGAAATAGTCCCTTCTCATTTTTAAAGTTGATCATTTTAATTTTGACTGACGCAAGGCTTTCTTTTCATTTTAAGCAAATACTTGGCTGGGGTCCACCAACCTCTATAAGATTGTAATGGCATAGGCTCGTATTGTGACATTTCCCTGCTTCAACTGCTATGACCTTCTAGAACAGTTATTCTATCATAAAACTCTCCTCTGGACTCTAAATTAAATTACCCTCCATTTAGAGTATTTCTGTATACTTTTGATTAATTTATAGAGTAAAATGCACTGAATTAATCATGATTCAAAAAATCATTTTATATTATGGTCTAACAAGTCTTCTTTGAGCCTTTCTGGCATTGTCCATCACTAACACTTTATGATGTCTGTTTAAACATTCAAACACAAGTCTAATTTTCCTGAAGGGAATAAAAGAACTACTTCAGTATAACCTTAGCTGGAGCTTCTTATATACTATTTGTTTAGGCAGAGGAAAAGCAGACTTGGCAAAGGGACTGGACACAGTGTCTGAAGCTAGACAGCAAATATTAAAGTCCAGTTGTATTACTTACAAGCCTGTGATTCTGGGCAAATTCATCACCTGCTGTATCTCATCTGTGTATTCATTGTAGCAAAGGAATCCATAATAGGACCGAAATAACAGGGTTGTTCTGATGTTAAATTAACCCAACATAAATATTCAACATGCTAACTGGAAAATATCAAGTTCTTACTAAATGTCGTCCATCATTATATATATTTATTCAGCATATTACTTATTGAGTAACTATATGTTCTATGGTAGGGATACAATGGGGATAAACCAGAAATACCTTGTCTACTGGGCAATTGTAAAGACAGACAATGAAACCAACAAGAATATCACTTTATACTTGCTACAATAGAAAGTGAAGAAAAAGTAGAAAGCAGTTATTCTTACTACTAAAACAAGTGGGGGGAATACAATTTTTAAAAAATTAAATAAAAATAAATTTTAAAATAAACTTTCTTGGAGGATCACTTTTTACTTCTATGAGAAAGATACAGAACTTTTACTGATGATATCAGTAATGAATAGGAATGAACCCAGCAAACAGAATAAGAACCAAGCTTGTGAAGCTCAAAAGGAGAGGAAATGATAGATGATATTGAGTCTGGAAGACAGTGAAGGAAGTTTGATGAATAAAGGACCTAGACAAATCACTCGAGGCCAATTGTCTACAGTATAGATAATGGTCTGAGAATGGTAAAAGTCTGCTGAAAAGAAAGAAAGAAGTGATCAAATTGTTTAGATTTTTATTTTATCATGTTGATTGGCTCCAGTAAGGTGATGCATTATGGATGGTAAATTGCAGAATCTGAGTTGGAAAAGAAAAGTATTTTAGAACTCAGTGTAAACAGTGGACATGGAGAGATGTGGGATAAGATAGGAAACATTCTCAAAGTAAAGCTGCCATGTTTGGTGTAATAGTGAATGGGAACTAAGGTGTTGGCAAGTGTGGTCCTGATTTCTTACTTGTACTTACTCATTCTCTGTAAGAGAAGAAAGAAATTGAACAGGAGGAAGGGGAGAAAACAAGTTCAATTTTGTATATGGTATATTCATTTTATCTCTGTGATATTCACCAGAGTTCATGTAGAGAGGTCGATGAGATCAGTAGTTTACATTTTGGTTGCAAATATGGAAATACAATTTATGTATAGTAACTGAAACCATGAAATCAGAGAACTGAATTCCTTGAGAATTTTTGGAAAAAATAAGCAGTTAAACATGACATCCCTCCTCCTACTCATATCACCACAAACTGCAAGAATATAAATATTTCTCTTTGTGTGTCTTCGTTTTCTTAGAATATAGAATTCCAGACAAAAAATAATAGTCATACCAAGAATGTATAATGGCTTCATAATTAGGAAATGCTATTCCTTCCAGCCATTGCATTTAGACACTATAGAAAATAAATGATTAATAGCATAGATCAGGAGTTTAGGACTGTAAAAGTTGAAATTCCTAACATTGTAATAATTAAAGTAGAAGAATACTAAGGTTTGTTTACATGTAGGGTGGGGTAAGATAAGGGCTAGTTTTCTGGAGTAAAGCAATTTACCACTGCCTTCCTCCTACCTTTATAATTCAAACACAAGATAATTTGACCTTTCCAGATTCTCAATTACAGTTTTTCCTTCAGCACCATCCAGATACTGTTTTCACAAGTTCAACCAACAGAGCTATTTATGTTTGTCTAAAACAATGATCCTAACTAGCCTAAGACCAAATGAGTAGAGAAGATCAGAAAAATTACATATGAGAAAAAGGACCATTTTATAATGAAGATTAATTTAGCATAGAAGTCAAAGTTGATTAAAAAAAAAACTGAAACAAAAGTGACAACATAGTTCAATGATAAGATGATATTCCAACTAATCAAAAGTATCATTTTAGGTTTATATAGTTTAAAGTGATCATTATAAGCAATATGTAGAATCCCTGCATGTGTTTACACAGACAAAATAATTCCACATTACTGATGATTTTTGCATGTTATTTGTTGCTCAGAGTTTAACTTTGGAAAGTAAGTCTTTTCTGAGAAATTAACCTTATTCTTAACTCATATTAATATACTATCTGTTTAAAGTAACTAAGTTTAGTGCATGGTTTTAACTAACCATGAAGATAGAACCAATGCTCTATAAAGCTTTAGATACACTTAAAGACTATTGAACATTACTAGTGCTTTTTTTTTTCCAGGGAGAATTTAAAAAATATTTAAAGGATTTAAACACTAGTAAACATAAATTTAACCTGAGTTTTAATATTTTATAATTGCAAATGTCTTGGGATATACTCGCTTCACTCAATGTTAATAAAGATTTAGGGTGTTAAATAGGTTACTTTAAGCATTCTTATCACTTTTAACTCTAGTGAATAAAATCACTTGAGTAAATTCAAAAGTAGGGATAGGAAGTTAAATCTATTGGGCACTTTATCCCCTACCCTAATTTATTTGGATTTATCAGATAAATGCTAGATGTTATAGATGTTCCCAAAATCTATAAAAAATGTTTTCATATTAACTCAGAAAAGGATATGTCCCACATATTTTATTTTATAATGGTCTAAAATTATAGGTATATAGTGAGTACATAAGTTGAATAACTTCATGGTTCTCATATCTAAAAGTGAGAACCATGTTGGTGATAAAACTTACGTAACTGAATAATAGATAGACTTATATTTTGATCTCCTGTCTATGTGAAAAACTAACATACTTGAAAATTGTAATTTAAATTCCCTCATTAATAAAGTAAAAATCTTACATTTTAAGTTACAACATATTAGATATGTTCAAGGTTCTTGAAATTAAAATTTGAATTCAGACCATCCATATAATTGACAATATTTAAGAATAAATTTTTGTGTCTCCAGTTTCACATTGTCAACATAATTAAAAAATATATATATTACCCTGTTTTATATATTCTTTGTGACTTCATTTTATAAACAGTCCATTCAATCAACACAGTGTTTAAAAAGTTGATTCCATTTTGCTAATGAGGTGACTAAAGTCTATCAACATGTTATCATTCCCTTATGTCTTTCCTGTATTTCTTTTTCAAGAATGTATTCTGATAGCATGTGAATCTACATATATATTTCTTCATATCCTCACTGTATGCCAAACTATTAACAGTAATGATGTAGGATAGAATAAAGATGGATCAGGATTCTAAAATGTTAAGATAAGGAATTTTTGGTGGGTGAAGATTTTCTATAATTCTTGAACTAATAAATCTCTATCCAAAGCTATGTAATGCTACAAATAAAATGCATATGAATTGGATCACTGAGAGTGCACCACCCAGGACTGAGCAATTGGATACTAAATACAAAGGGACTCCCAATAGTTTAAATCTAAGACTTTGAACACAGTAAACATGGTCAGAGCAAGAATAAGAGGGTAGTTGGGACAGAGAAAAACGACACAGGGGAAAACACAGGGAAGCTAGTGTTGCTGCCCAGTAGTCCTTTTCTCTACCTCACTACTCCTGGAATATGGATTCAGTCACATGGATCCCTGATGGCATGGTGAGTCAGTTATGAGGCAGTAGATGAGATGCATTTGAAAGGTGTTTAAAGCAAGTTTTACCAATCACATGACTTAACATCGCATAACCAGACATCTGATTAATTTAAGGACAGTAGAAACGGTAGTGTCAGATATATGAGAACCACTCCACCTGGAAATTTACCAAAATGCAATTTGTGAATACAACTCTGACAACTTACTATATACATATCTACACAAACATACACACATATACACACATACTATATATAGATACACACAACTATGTGTGTGTATATATATATATATACACACACACACACAAATATTTATGACTCTCACACATACACATATATATGAATCAAAATAAATTACCAAACAAACTTTTAATGAGACTGCAAATTGGGTAATAAACACAATAAAGGTTGGTATCTCCTAACCAAAATGCTCAACCTGGAATGTTTTATCCTCAGTATCTACCAGAGCACAAGGTGAGGGGCTTAGGGACTGGGGAGGGGAAGAGTGGAACAGGGAGATGTCTGGATGCCCCTTGAGGACTTACTGTACCTGTGTCCACATCCTTCACCTGTTGCCTGGCTCTCGTTGGCCGGCTCCACTTTGAGCTCTTGCAGTACCAGCCCATTGTCGTTCGGTCCAGGAAAGTCCATGCCTGGCACCACCTCCTCCTCAATGGACTCCACGTAGAAGAGAGTTCTGGCAGGCTGGTGGGTGCCCTGCCGGGGCGCCCCTTGTTGCAGTCTCGTGGCCACCGGCAACAAGGTGCCATTCAGTGGGTTGAGGGAAGAAGAGGACTGAGAGGAAGAGGAAGAAGGCTTCTTCCAGAAAGTGCTCACGCTGCCCTTCTCTTGGCTTTTGAGCAGGCGGCTCTGGCTGGGTCCCCAGTGCTCAAAGCTGCCGCTGCTGTCCTGTTGCAGGCAGCTGCCCCCAGCAGGGCCGCCGGGGGATGGCGACGGGTGGCTGAAGAGTTTCCAGCGGAGTCGCAGGATGTGCTTCACATCGAAGTCTTTTCGTCCAGACCCTGACATGCTTAATGCACAAAAGGCAAAGGGATCTCAGTTGGCGCAGGAGTAGACACCTGCCAGCTGGTGGGGACTGTCAGCGGAGCCTGGTCGGAGCAGGAAGCGCTGCGCTCTCAGCACCGCGCGGGCAGACGGGGCAAGGTGGCTGCGCACCCCGCCAATCCCCCACTGGAGCGCAGACGGCGGAGCCGCGCGGCTCAACTGTGGTCAGATCGGCAGGATCAGCGCGAGTGGAGCCCACCGGCAGGAGCAGAGGCACGAGCGGGGCGCCGAGGACTGTGATCCTCGATACCCGCTCCCGGGGCAGTGGGTAAGGCGGGGAGGTTCGCCCCTGAGGTTCGAGATGCAAGAGAGAAGGAGGTCTGCACGCTCCGAAGCCCGGGAGGCGGTGGCAACTGGATGCACCTCCCTGGGATGCACCGTGGCACAGCCTCGGTCTGGGAGGTGGCAGTTCTCTTGTCCTTGCAGCTCAGAGTTCAGTGCCTGGAGAGCTCAGAAAGAGAGCGAACGATAAAGAACCCCAAGTCGTGAAGAAGCGCACCCCCTGTCTTCTCTGTGCACCTGCGCCCCTGCTCCTGGTCTCTCCAAGGATGCCCCAGAGCTAGCTTCCCGGGTAGCTCAGAGAAAGTCAATGTCCTCTGCAAGGCGAGAAACAGAGGTTTTATATAGTCAGTTTGTAAAAGGGAAAAATAAATATTCAAGCAAATTCACGGAGGGGAATGGAAAAGCCCGCCCGTGAAGCTGTCAAGGTCCTCACAGTACAATTTTCTCTGCCTAGGCGCCTCCTCCTCCCCCGTAAGTGACGCAGATGTGCACTGGGGCCTATACCAGAGCTGGAGGGAGGGAGGGAAGGCTTCAATCTTCTTTATGCAAGTGAGTCTGCTGCTCTTATTGTCCCCTTGCGTGGGTCCTGTCACCCTTTTTCATTCTCCTTCCTCACTACCTTACTGTGTAGCAATAAAAGTAAAGCAAACAGGCATTATGCTTTAGCATCGGTAAACACCACACATGAATCAAGACAGGGTAAACTAAACAGGCTGGCATAGGTCTGCAGGTTGCAGGTTAATGGCTTGAATTATTTAATAAACTGCGTCCTTTAACCTTTAGCCTTAGCTTCTCTGTACTGAGACCTGGAAGAAACGGGAGTTGGTCACAAAGTGTGATGATGCCACCGTTCTGACAATTACGTTGTGATTCTGCCATTGATGCACTCAGGCAGTGCTTCACCCAGGGGGGCCATTCGCACAGGGAGAAATTTGAAGATGGGCACCTGAGTGCTGGGAATGAGTTTTGCAAAATCAGAGCATTTGGTGTGTAGGCTCGGGATGAAAGCTGTTCTCAGTGTAAACCAAAGATTTGGAATAAAATGATAAAAGATAATTTCAAGACAGAACCTTCTAGTACATAAATCATGGTATAAAATGGTCAGAAGAGATTAGAAAATAAATGAATATACTCAAAGGCAGCTGTCCTGCCAAAATCTGTTCAGGAAAGAGCTATTTGCTGTTCTACCTGTATTTAGCATGATGAGTCTTCTGATCCCTATCTAGATGTAGCTAGTGGGAAATTTTTCTTTTTTCTTTTCTTTTCTTTCTTTCTTTCTTTCTTTTTCATTTTTTTTAAGGAGACATTAAATTAAATTGCCTTTGCTCAAGGCAAAAGGGGGCCAATGAATCAGGTTGCTCTCTTAGCAATGGTTGTCCATTCATGAAATTCACAGCTTCAGCAACCCCCAGCAGGACACAGAATCCTGCAGTTATATTAGTGTTCTCTTACCCCATTGCTGAGCAGTAAACTTAAATAGAAACCAAAGCTCAATTTCAAGTTCCTCCATGACAAAGTTGGGCATTTTAGTAAAACAAGAAATTAAGCACACAAAACCCATACTTTCAGGGGAAGAAAAACCACTGTTGTATGTTTTAAATATTGATTTATGCCACAACAGCTGGGTTGCAATCCCCTGTGCCTTGATTTTTCTTTCAGTATTCAGTGCTAAAAAAAAAAAAAGGAAAAAGCCCTTTAAAGCAAACAATGGTGACAGATCATTTTTATCCAAGAACAGAATCAAGTAACTACTCCCCTTAGGGAAGAAAACTGTATGAAATTACATCACAAACAGGACATAGAAAACTTTCCACCAGAGGTAATATAGAAATTTAAAGTGCATGTTTTTAAATAGTTCTTTGGAAATTGGTTATTTGCTTATTTTCAAACTTTTCTAATTTGGTGGTTTTTAATTTGTCTAAAAATGAGGTAAAATGATGTTTGAAACATCAGTGACTTCTTCATTAATTACTATATTTAGCCATACAAAAGTTGTAATAAAATTCACTTTGGTTATTCTGAAATTCAATATTGCATTCCCCTTTTACTTTACTAATATTTCTAATTATAGTTGAAAAGTTATCTGTAATTCACATGACTAAAAATATGTATTATTCAGCTTACTATAAAGGAACATTACTTTATATACAAAGCAAATACCAAGCAGTATCTACTTTGTTAGTCTTGTAGTATTTAGCATGTTTAAGACACTGTAAGTAGAAAATATTTGCTCTTGTTAAAGATACCTAAAGATAATACAGATTATCAACTGACGTATTTATAATTTAGAAAATGAAATATACATGAAAAATATTAAAGTAAAATTGTGAAGCTGATGATAATTAAAGAATATATATTGTTACACTATAATTAGGAAAGAAGGAGAAAAGAAAGGAAGTAGGAAGGAGGGGGAGCAAAAGGAGAGAGAGAAAGGAAGAAAAGGGAGTAGAAGAGGAAAGAAAGAAATAATGTACTAAGCTAGCCTGACTTAAATTTATATATTAGATAAAGTCCTTGAAATAATAAGTTTTGTATAATACTGCACTCAGATTATATTTTTAATTATTGAATTTTTGTTTTTTAATTCAGCACTTATCACATGCTGATTTCAATATCAAGCAGTGCAGACATGAGGAATTAAGTTCCTTGTAGCAAACTGGAACAATTAACAGAAGGGAATTGTTTATACAATCATAATTTATAATTGACTCTTGGGTTAATTAGATTTAGACTTAAGATAACCAAATTTATAGGAAAGAAGACATTGGCTTAATAAAGCTTCCTTTTTAAGAATTTTAAAATTCATATTACACTTACTTTAAAGGTGGTATCAATTTAATTATTCTAATCCTTTTGTTTAAATTTAGTCAGTCTGGGTCTTCATATGAGTATCCATATTATTGCCATAATTTCCAGACATACTCAGTAGAAAAGGTTAATCTGGATACTGAAAACCGATAGAATATTCAAACATTTACTATATAATACACACATTTAATAATTTCTCACTAAGTCTAGCAGTACAGCACATTGAGAACCCTACAACTCAAATATTTCAATAGTAAACAAAATGGGTTGGGACGTAAGGCTAAAAACTTTTCTTTTAGCAATCAGCACCTAACCCACTCAATTACACATGTTCTTAACTAGAAAAGTGATTTTTGATTCTCTTGAATGTTTTTGACAGTCCTCTACAGTATCTATTATGTTGAGCCATAGTATTCAACAAAAGCTTTTAAGTAGCTGATGATCCAATTTGAGTTCATACCTTATGATGACTCTTTTTTATGTTTATTTTTAATCTTTATTTTTATTTTAATGAAACATAGCTATGCAACTACTAGAAGGTGTTATTTTGAATGAGAAGATAGCATTTAAAATAAGTGCAACATATCTGTGTGTGAAAATTAAAATGAATATATTTCCATAATGATATTTTATTCAAAACTAATGGAAGTGTCATATAATATGGTATTAATGTTAAATTGCATCATATATAATATTAAGAACTCTTTATTTCATAAAACAGATAACCTATCCAAAGTCTATTAATCTTCATTAAAGTCTAGGTATAGTGTAGTTATTAGCAATTAAGTGTTCAGCAGATATTTATGGGTGTTAATTGATCCTGAGTGGCCATTATAATCCACTCTACCTCTCCATCTTATTTAACTTTTTCATTTGACTAGGGCAACTAATGCATATACTTAAGTAATTTTCATATGTAAATTACTGAGTTGATTGTATGAATGTATGCATTCAGATGACGTTAAAATAATGTATCCAGAGTAATGATAACCAGATTTTATGTGGCATCTTTTAATTTCCTAAATTATATATCAAATATTGAAGGTGGTTTATGAAAATTGATTATATTTACTTGTGAAAAAGACTTGTGTAGCCCTTGTATAAGACTTGTGTAGTTAATCATGCTCATCAGGACCATATAAAAATGAAAGAAATCCTTACCACTTTATTTCTTTTTAATGATAAAACCTTTACCTATCAGCGTTTTTTTTTTTTTTAGATTTTATTTATTTATGCATGCAGAACTGGGGTTCAGGCCAGAGGATCAGGGGTGGTGAGAGGATTCACCAGAGGCAGAGTGGGGAACAGAACAGGCAGACTGATGAAGTACACTGCTGAGGGGAGCAGCAGGCAAGACAGGAGAGAGGTCTACTTAGTTATGTGGGTCCCAGGGAGGTGGGAGGTGTCCCAGGCCAGAAATAGAACTCACTTTTTAACCTGTTGCACCACAGGGTAGACCCAGAAACCTTTATCATTTTAATGGAAATATTTCTATATCAATATAGATAGGTATATTTAATGTAATTATAGATATATTTAATATATATATATAATTATATTTCGACATTTTCTGTGTAGAAAACATTTGGAGCATTACATAATAACTATTATAGATACCATCAGAGATTTTGGAAGAGAAAATGGATTGTAAAGATAAAACAGCTTAACTAATACTTTATATTGTCAAATATTAAGAATGACAATGATAGTTTCAGTTTTTTCATGTTGTGTTTAAATACCCGAGTATCTTTGTGAAGTAATATAATGTATGTTCCCTGAAGTTTTAACCATGAAGATCAAAATAATACAATTATAGCTTATAAAGTAAATATTTATTATGAGAAAAGTGTTTATGATCTCCATATAAATCTGGG